AAAAAAAAAAAAAACCTCATAGAAAACTGGAATAGGTGGTCTTTATCTCAATGTGATAAAAGTCATCTGTGACAAACCAACAGCCAACATCATATTAAAAGGGCAAAAACTGAAGGCTTTCACTCTAAAATCTGGAACAAGACAAGGATGCCCACTATCATCACTCTCATTCAATATAGTTCTGCAAACATTAGACAGAGGAATTAGATAAGAGAAGGAAAGAAATTAAAAAAAAATAAGGACAGGAAAGGAAGAAGTTAAAGTATCGTTATTTACAGATGACATGATACTCTACATAGAAGACTCCCAAAACTCCACCAAAAGTCTGCTAGATTTGATAACCAAATTCAGTGGCCAAGCTGGATACAAAGTCAGCACTCAAAAAATCCATAGCCTTGGTCTCTCTCTCTCTCTGCGGGATGCTCCGACGGGACTCGCCGTCCCTGAGACGTGTGGGAGACGGGGTAACGGGAAGGGAGCAGAGATGACCAGAGATTCGTTGTGCTTAGGAAGGGGTAGAATGAAAGAGAAACCCGCTTGGAAGCACTGGACCACAACTTTATTCCCTCACGACCTGCCGCTTCCGGCCGCGCTCTGCGAGTAATCGGCGCCGGGCGGGCGCTGCCTTGACCTGGAGCGAAACGTTCCGCCGAGAACACGGGCGCGAGGGGAGACGAGCATTTGATGGTGTGGCGCAGGATCGCTTAAGTGAGACAGTGGTGAGCCCGGGAGGACGCGCGGCAGACAGGGGAGAGGCGAGGCCCGCTGGGTCTGCGCCCCAGGGAAGGCGAGGCACGGGAGAGGAAGGACACGGCCGGGTCGGCAGCTGGGCTGGAGAGGTAGGCAGGGGTCCAGCACCAGGGACGAGGGCGGGCAAGCATGGATCCGGGCTAGAGCGATTCTCCAAGCATGGTCTCTGCCCCGAGACTGTGGCAGGGACAACTTGAGATCCAGGCTTTTCTAACAAGGTAGGATTTGCCTTTGTGATTGTAATTCTCTTAAGAACGCCGGTGGAGTTTTCCTGAAGATAGACTGAACATTGCTACCAAGGCGCTCCTAACGAGTGCGTTGTGTGCATTTTTCGTGCTATAAATTTTTCTCTTTTTGTTTTTTCAAGAGAGTCTCACCAGGTAGCCCAGGTTAGCTTCCTGGGTGCAGGGACTACAGGGCTCCACACCGAGCTAGGCCATCCGCCCTTTTAAGTTTTTGAGGCAGGTTCTCCTTAAATTGCCCAGGCTAGGCCCCAGCTTTCAATCCTCCTGCCTCAGCCTCCTAGAATGCTGGGATTACAGACATCTGCCAACTCATTTTCAAGTTCTAGTATAATAAATAACCCACATGAAAAAATCAATAGCATTACTGTACACAAATAACAAACAGAAATTAGGCAAACAACACCTTTCACAATACCATCCAAAAAAAAA